TTCCTTACAACTGCTGGTTTCCCCCCTCAATTCACGGTTCTCTAAAGAGAGGAAAAGGAAAGGAAGTAACTCTAAAGATGCTCTCCAGAGTTACTCTCTTCTCCCCCTGCACCCAGCTTACATCATCATTGTCTTAGAACAGTGAACTGGAAGGGACCCTATAGATCATCTAGTCCAGCCCCTGTCAAGGAGGCACAGATGGGGGGGAGGGAAGCAAACTCGCAATCTCTGGCTCTGCAGCCAGAGGCCTCCTCAACCCCAGAGCTATCCCAGGTTCCTTATCATTGCTACCTCAACCCCGGAGCTATCCCAGGTTCCTTATCATTGCTACCTTTCTTTCAAATGCCACTGTACCAGTGCTTTCCCACTCCTCTGACTAGACTTCTGTTATTCTGATTAGGAGTCAGTAGGCTACCCTGCAGAGCAGATTCAGAACTCCAACACAGTCCGATGCTACAAACAAAACTATTCACCCACCAGCCCAGCCCAAGTAGATTAGCATTTGTAATTTGTGAATGCAGCACCCTGCAAAAAAAAAAAAGGCAAATGAGAAAAGAAACCCCCTAAAAACACTAGTACGGACCGACCTGCCCACATTTCAGTGTAACCAGGGGTACACTTATTTTATACTTGGGACAGCAGCTTAACAACCTGCACCCTCTTAACCTCATCATATCCCTAAACAAGGATGTAACGGTATTTTGGTACATATTATAAACAGTATTATATCTCTTCATGATAGAAATGCTGATCTCTTTGAGATTTATGAGCAGAGACACAGAGATAAACCGAAACTTTAAAAAAAATATCTGGTGAAACCCCTAAGAAAGTCTCTTGGAAGATCTAAAATGGACGCCGTCAACGTGAACAGCAGGTTCACATTAAGCCTCATGGTTATTTCAGAGACTGAGTAAGGATGAAAACGCGTGGAAGTTCAGCCCCTGACCTATGATGTCACGCTTACACATTTGGATACCCAGACCATGACAGGGGAAAGCGGAACACAAAGGAAGGCCAGGCTGCAGCCTTTTCCAAGTCAGAGTTCCTTCATAAACCCCCAAGTTTGAATTAGTGTCATGAATTATTCAGACCTGGCTTTTCATTAAGGACATAAAAGCCAAGCTTGATGCATCAAATTTACTGTAAGAAGCCATAAGGTTTCTTTTTTTTTCTAGTGTAAAAAGGAGCTTCTCCACTTGTTCCCAATTAAATATTCCTTGGCAGACTTATGTGTTGTCTGACTGACAGTTTCAACTTACATTTTAAAATCTGGCAAACTGCTATCAGGATTTTTAAACCATACTGGACGTGAAGGATAGCTCTGGATTGGCTTTCCACTGCTGGCAAGCTCTCACATTCAGAACACGTGCTCCTCCCTTCACAATAGACGCTCTCATGAGATTCGACACTGCCAAATCAGGATGCTTGGATTACTACGGGTTTGGGTCCAGGCCCATCTGTCTCCTTGTAGGAGAAAAGGTAACCACTGAGATAACCACAGAACTTAGGCCCCTCCACTTAAATATAGGCTTGACTGTGGAAATTAAAACCGTCAGCATTCTCTTCAAAACCAAGAGCATAATCAAAGGCATCTGTTTAAACTAGAGGTTGGAAGGAGGCTGGTAGCAAATGAAGCAGTGAGGTCACCTGTGACTTTGATCCAGAGTCCAATAAGACTACCGACTGGCTGAATATCCAGACCATCCTTTGCCTTGGCTGAGGAACCCCTAACCTGGGAGATCACTTCTTGGAAAGAACGGACACTGTGGATAGAAAGATAGACAGTCTTGAGCCTGCTCTCAGCTCAAAATTCTGTCCGTCATGATTTCTTATTGGTACAATTTCAAAGTTTGTGGGGTTTTTTTTTATTTTAAAGCCATAATTAGTATTTAATTAGACTTTATCAGCTGAAATCCTGATGGTGGAGTTGTGCCTCGTAAATGCTGATGATGTCATCAGCAGGCAACGTTAATCTTGAATTAATTTTAAAACTTCCTATCCCCACTCCCCAGATTCCAAGGCTCCTTAGGGATCCCTTTCAACCCTGGGAGCCTCCTGATGGTGACAACCTTTAATACCTGAAAAGAACTTCTTATGGCATCAGCAATGAAGAAGTGCAGCTCCAGCAACAGGATTTCATTGTGTCTTTTTTTGTATTTTTGCATGGTGCTCTGAGAACTTTGGTTTTGGTTCTTTTAAGGAGAAAGGCAGAGTAAAAATTAAGTTAAATTAATTAAGTTAAATTAATAAATGTTTTTTCACTATATGTTACCAAAATCCAAAGCCATGCAGAGTTTCTCACTTAATCTGCACCTAAGAATTGTTTCATTGTCCAAATTCCGTCTCATGAACAAAGCCTTATAACTCACTTTAAGGAAAAATCCTATAAATCATATGCGCTCACAGATTAGCCAAACTGGCTTGTTGTATCAGATAACTAAAAGTACCACCTCTGACTAGGTTTAGAGCACTAACCTAAGTAAGGGTGGCCCAAGGTTGGGAATCACTGGAGTACAGTACATCTAAACTGCTGAGCTGAGTGTTTTCAGTTCAAATCAAAAGTGAAATTTATCTTGCTCATAAGGTGATCCAAGTTTGAATTCAGTATCAATCCCAAGTAAGATTCGTGGAAATAAATTAGACTGGTTAACAACGAATGTAACTCCCATTTACTTTGATGGGCCCGCTGTTGGCAGAACTAACACTACATCAAGGGCAATATTAAAAAGAGGACGCAGTTTAATCCACACACCTTTCTCTATGACTCAGGGTGCTGACTAACTTTAGAACACCGTGCCAAGAGTGACTTCTTCCTGGCCGTAATTGAAAAAAGTATCCCCTTCCAAATGAAAGGTTTAAGAAGGACTATCAACATTCTGTTTTGAGACAATAAGCAGACTCCTGAAACGGAAATGGAATAAGTAATTCTACCTTTGGACGAATGGCAAGAAAAATGATCAGTGACAGTAGTGCCTGCCTGGCATAAACCTAATTACGTTTGTTTCAAATGGAAGACATCCATTTGACTAAATCTCAACAGACCCGAAAGATCTGTATTAGAGTTCTCCTGTACATCAGATACTGTGGTCAATTAACCTCAAAATCAGGATGTTGTTACCAACCCCTTCTTTATTGTGTTAGACTGACTGGAGTCATTTCAACAACAAAAGTTCTGACTAGACATTGAGGTCAAAGTGAGAAAAGAGGCAACACACTGGTGGCACCATGATAGAAATCGGAAAAATAGCATCACTAAATCACAAATTAAAGTGGATTTCGATCGTGTTGGTCAGCATAAACACCAGAGCATAAATAACACTCAGCCGTAAAAAGGAGAGGAGGCCAGGAGGCTAACATGCCATGATATGACCAAAATGTTCTAACAAAAATTAATACAGTACAGTGCTTAAAAGTGAAAGAGTAAAGTCTTACAAAATACTTCACAATAAAAAAGTATTACAAAGGCACATTCTTTAAGTTATAAATAAAATCTTAAGTCACATCTATGAAAGTCTCTTAAAACACTATACTGTTAAAAGGCCACAGTATAGGAAAAAATCTTAAAGCTGCTCCCCCACCAGTTTCCTCCCCTCTAATGCTACTCTCCCAGCATCCTTTGCTCTTTGACCTGATTATCTTTTCTGGTCATTATTTATGCCTGCATTTTTCATTCATCAGTTATAAACAATCCTTCCTGCAGGAGATCCAGGTCCAGGGGCCTACTTTTCAATAGGAAATTCCATTCTTGTTGCACATAAAACTCCCAAGTTTTTTGAAGTTAAAATCTGGCAATCCGCCACGATGATAGCACCCTTGTTTTGACTAAAATTTCTGCAAAGCTTGGATGATTTAAGATTCTGTCGCATAAACTGCACTAGTTATCCCAGGTGATTGAAATGCCAAGGTCCTTATGCACTTAAGAACACAATGCCATATACAGTGCTTAAAATGTCAAATGTCTTGTCATTACAACTCAGAGCAACTTTTTAAACCACAGTCCCCCAGCTAAAGTCGCCAGTAAAGATTTTTAAAAAATCATTCTCTGATCACTTGAAAAGACCATTACCTGAACATTACTGACATGGTGTTGCATACTGCAAGCCCCTTGAATAGAACAGTAAACAGAATTCACAACAAAACCTGCTTGATATCTGCTGTTGATAAACATGTGTTCCATGCTGTATCAAGCCAAAAATTAAAGGTTTCCATATTTTCCCAGAAGCAAAAGTTGTCCCAATAACACACATGGATTTTTGTGTGCATGCTAATACCAATTATGAACTCTTTATTTTTTTAATTTATTGATTTGATTTCTACCCCGCCTATCTGGACTACCAGACCACTCTAGGCAGCTTAGTTTCCATGCTACTAAAAAGTTCATCAAGTACTTGTGCTTTTTCACCGAGCACACTGTATGGGTTTTTAACGATTTATCCAAGAGTCAATGCAAGGGAAGGAAGGCCCATGGAATCACTGTAAGCAAGAGGCTAGAGGAAGTAGAGCAGGAGAAACCCATGCAGGATAAAGAGGTATTCAGAACACACGTTTCAATTGCCTGTACCACAACCGTTAAATCCATTAGTGCTGCAGTGCCTTAAGGACCACCCCGGACAGGAGGTATCGGCCTCCAAATTAGCAAGATACTCAGGCCTTCCACTGCTGCAAAGAGACAAGCACAGCTACTCTTCGGGAATTTTAATTTTAAGAAACTCTCTTAACAAAAAGTGAATGTGGCAATGACAAAGCAGCCAGGAAGGCTTGGTATGCACTTGAGAAGGGGGGGAGGATTGGTTTAGAAGAGGCCCCTTCTCTTCTCAAGAACAGCAGGGCCCAGTGTCTAAACTTACCCGAAGCAGAATCGTATTCATACCAAGCTCATTAAATACTTAAAATATGACAACTGTTCCTTCTAAATCGGTGTGACCAGCTCGAAGCTAGGCCCGGTTTATATAAATAGCTTGCTTTTCAGATCTCGTGTGCCGATGACTGAGCAAACTTACCATACAGGCCAACCGTGCCTCGGCCGTTGGTGCTGTTGCTGCTGCATCCACGCAGCTCAGCTCACCACGCCCATCCCCTTAAGCAGCAGTTCTGTGATCGCTTATCCTGGCTGCGTTACTGAATTACAGCATAAAATATCCCCTGATGCAATGCTAGAACCATCCCTGTAAAAGCTGGGAAGGAGACCAGCTAAGTCGCAGCTGAAGAAAAGCAACTGCAGAGAAGGAACCAGGAAGAAAAAGACGCTTCTGATTAGAGGCCACTATCCATACAGGCGTAAAGTAGCATTCTTCAATTCAGAATAGAGGTTCTCAGGAAACAAACAAACAAACACACACACACACAAGCTATAGAACCTTCTGCCTTGTTAAGGGCTGTGTGGGCTGTACAGATTTTGGTTTTAATGCTTTAAAGTTATGTTTTAATTGGTCTGACTTTAAATAGTTTTTTTTTATTTTTAAAAATTGCTTCATGCAGTTTTGTAACCCATCCTGAGATCCTGCAATAGAGAATAAGCTACAAATGTTTTAAATAAAAAATAAAATAGCGCACAACTACATTTTAAGGTCTATGAAAAAAATCATGAATAGCTTCCCCATCAGCTCCCACTTCCTCTGGGACAACACAGTTCATTCAGCCAGTTTCTCAAGACACCAGCTGTCGCACTAATTCAGACAAGATGTTCCCCTCCCTGTCCACCCCTTTTTTGCCAGTCTCCTGTCATTTTCATTAAGCTATATCATTAACACAGCTCATCCCAGCCTTCCACAACAGGACAGCTAATTATTAGCAAGTACTGCAAAACAACACCCACACCTTCCTGCCGTCATTCTTACTTCTTTCTCCTAGTTTTGTGGAAGGCTTTCACTTTAAACAAACTGCAACCAAAACAAAAAGTAACAAGAGGCACAGAACAAAAAAGACAGCTCTCTTATATTAGGAGGAAAAATAAGACAGGATGTTGGAAAGAGTGCTGGATACCCCAGGATACAATTCTGTAGGTACTTCCAAAAAAATTTAAAATAAGCATGCTTTTGGTAAGGAAGACACAAAGAGGCCAAAACGTGGACACCAATGTTGTCAGAGATGCTCTTGCCAAAAATGTACCCCCACCCTACACACACACACACATATACAGAGTACAAATCAATACAGTTAAAAATATAACACCTGATAACAATAAGGCTTTCCTCCAAACTCTCAGAGTTCATAGACAATCAGGATTACGAGGCCGGCCGGCTGGACGCCCAAGACAAAAGGAAAGGGCAAGGGAAAAGTTCTGGCCAGATTAATTATCACCCTTTCCAGAAGCCTCCAAAGGGCATTCATTCGGTGTGCCAAACGGCTGCCAGAGGGACACGCGCCTCCCAATGGCCGGCTCCTGCCAGATAGGGTGACAAAGCATGATGTGCAAGCCGGACGTACAATAAAAGCGCCTCCCCCCCCCAAATGAAAACTGCAGACCTTCTCTCCACCCCACCCCACCCCCACAGCC